TTTATATATAATTACACATAATTTAAGTATTAATTTTAAATGGGATAACAAGTTCAACAACATATTTTGTTTCACTATAACTTATACCTATATTTTTTTAATAATATATTAACATATACTATATCTATATAGTAGATAAAAATAGTTTTTAATGACAAATAATATATCACTATAGAATATATATAATTGAATGATAATTTTTTTTAGTAAAATTGTTATTGGATACAATAATTGCCTATTATTTAACTAACGTGTATTCAAATGGGGACATATAGTACCTTTTCTCTTACTAGTATAAAATAAATTAAAGATTTAAAATTGTGAATTTGAAAAATATTATGAAAATGAATTGAAAAAATATATCTAATTTGATTATTTTTAAAAATTGAATAAATTTAAATAATAATATTTGATCAAATCAAATACTAAAATAATAAATATGATATGCTTGATATGTTTAAATATGATTCTAATTTACGAACAACTTTTGATTTTGATTTTCTAATTTTTTTATATTTTTTATTCTTTAAAATTTAAAATCATTAATTTTCATCTTTATAAAATAAGTAAATTTTAATTTTAGTTCGCGTAAAATATTTTTTTATAATTTTTTTCTTTTAAAACATAAAGTCATTAATATTGATCCTAATGTTTATTTTCAAATAGATAAATAACACATATATTTTGAGGATTTGTAATTTTTATTAAAAAAATATTACATATTAAGATAATATATATCACATACAATTATAAACATCACCTAAAAGTGTTACTTAATTTGTTAATAAATAATAAATAAATAATAAAAATTACATAATATTGAATAAAAACTACACAAATAAAAATTTATTCGTTCATTTATTAAAATTAAATATATATTTAAGAAAACTTAATATAATAAAAGTTACAAAGACACGAAACTGGGAGAAGTTTTTACTGTTAAAAATGAATATGAAAAATATAAAATTTATATATGAAAGTGTGAATTAATATCATGATGATATCTTTGATCCTCTAAAATAGAATTTGTGGATAACTAAACCAGCAATATCTTATAACCTGTGAATTTAAAAATAAAAGAATGAGAGAAAGGAATGAAAACTTGAGACCAATATTCTGTTAATCATTATACTGTATTGTGTGATTGTTGTGTCAAATGAAAATCATATGATGGTTTGAAATTTGAATGTGGGTTCTTGGTCTGTGGTTCAGACAACACCACAATTCACAAAATAAAATTTGAAGCAGGAATTTAATTCACATGGAGAAAACAATCAC